GATATTGGCACACCCTCAGGACTCTCCCAATTAGGATCCATGATAGGACATTGAGAGGCAGGGGAACAGAAACGAGAATTGGGATGAGCGGCATTTTTTCCGCACCCAGGAGTCCAATCTTCATTCATCCAAGATTTTACTCCTAAATTACTTACATCAACATCATCTAGGCCTTCCCAATAGACGCCTCCTGAAAAATAAAAGGCATATTTGGTGTTTAATCTGATCGATAGTGTGTTTGGTAAAACCATTAAAGAGTAATTTAAAACGTACCGTCGGAAGTTTCACCGACATTGGTGAAAATTGTATTGGATAGGATGGTTTTCATCGCATTGGGATTGGTCTTAGAGCTAGTTCCAGGAGCAACGCCAAAAAAGCCGTACTCTGGGTTAATAGCTCTAAGAGTCCCATTGGAATCGAAACGCATCCATGCAATATCGTCTCCAACGCATTCAACTTTCCATCCAGGAAGGGTTGGTTCCATCATGGCCAGATTCGTTTTGCCACATGCACTCGGGAAAGCGGCTGCAATGTATTTTTTCGCGCCAGAAGGAGAAGTTATTCCAAGAATAAGCATGTGCTCGGCCAACCATCCTTCCCGTTGCGCCAAAATAGATCCAAGACGAAGTGCAAAGCACTTCTTTCCAAGTAGCGAGTTTCCTCCGTAACCTGAGACGTTCAAACATGTTACGGGATTCCTTTTTACGTCGTAATACAACCTGAACCAAATGAGGCAATCTCATTGGAGTCCGGCTTGTGGGCAATGATCGTCCTCTCCGGATTGCATGGCCAATTGTTAACCAACGTCCTGGAAGCAGGTAATGGGCAGCCAACGGAATGTAAGCATTTAATGAAATCTTCATTTCCAAGAGTATCAAGAACCTGCTTTCCCATCCTCGTCATAATCCTCATAGAAGCAGCGACATATGGGGAATCAGTTAATTCGATACCAATCTTGGAAAGTGGACTGCCAACCGGACCCATGCTGAAGGGAATAACATACATTGTTCTTCCCTTCATGCATTTAGGGAACCGTGAATTTAGAGCTTTGTCTAAATCATCCGGTGACATCCAATTTCCTATTGAATCAAGGGCAAAGAAAAAAATAAACAAACGATTAGATAAAATGTTCTTTTAGTGAGTAAAAACTTCAAACAGTCAAAATTAAAACTTACCAAGAGTTCCTTTTACTCCAGGTTTGGGTTCTGGAACAGTATCACGTTTATTTCTGGTTGAAATAAATGTCAGAGACTCTACACGAGCAACATCAGCTGGATCAGTTCGAGACAGCCAACTGTAAGGAAAAACAAAAGGCAAACAGATTAATAATGATTGAATTTGATTGTTTCCAACACTGAATGAAATAGAAATACAATTGAAAACAACTTCTGTAAGCTTGGCTTTGTATCTAAGCCAAATTGATTGTTAAATTTTTCCATGTGAGTGAATATTCGAAAGGAAAGTTTCATTTAACAACCTTTTATATATTTAGGCTTCGATTAATATTAATTGCTTCAACGTTTTTATAAATTAATTTCAGCATTGGCGCAACCTTAAACAAAATAAACTTCAAGTTTTGCAACTCACCAATTTTCATATTTTGGTAATTTTTTGATCATTCCTTGTTGGACCATCAAATTGATAAGCTGATTGTTTTCTTCTTCAGTACCATCGCATATGTGAATGCTATCTGGTTCACATATTCTGGCCTTTTCCTCAACAAAGTTTCTTGCCTTTGAAGACAATTTATCGAGACCAATACTGGAGATGCAATTCAATTTTCTTTGCTGAATTGCAATGGAAGAAGGGTTAATCCTAGGAATAGCTCCATGGATAGGTCTGTGAGAGGATAAATAAAATTTCAAAACATTAGATGAATCAAAAGCAAAAGAATGAAAGGTAAAAAACAATGGATTATCATTAATAACATCTATTTCCTTAGTTACAAATCTGTTAGAACTTGGACTTGCTACTGTATTTTCACCTGAAATTGGTTCCAAGGAACAATTAAACAAGTAAAAAATTATGAATTCAAGGATATAAAATCATAATTCAAACGAAAATTCGAGATTTACTTGTTTAATAGTCTTTAAAACAGGAAAACAAAGAGAAGAGCAAAATTGTGACTTTGAAGATTTGATCATATTTAAGATCATAATTCGCCCAGAAATCTGATCTAGCTACATGACTTCATGCTCTTAACCTTGAAAATGATAAAACTTAGGAAATAAGCCAATCAAGAGAGTAGACACTAATTGTCATTGGAAAATTAAGGATAAGATGGAATCCTTGAGTGATGAAAGAAAAACATTGAAGAAAAGTGAAAATGAAAATATATTCAAGACTTACCTGATTAAATTGGTTAATTGAGAAATTTTCAACATGTTGTTATCCTCTTTGTCCTCTGTGTTACCTTTAGAAGTGCGATTGACTAATGAAAAAGTAATAATCAGTTAACAATTGTCATTGAAAACAATATTAAAAACAAAGAAAACAAAGAAAACGAAAGAAAAAAATGAAGCGTGATGTCGAGGGAAGCAGAAAGACTGTATTGGGTTGTGTACGCAACCACAGGAACTGCTGGAAGGGATCAGATGTTTTGGTAAGACCAATGACTATCTCTTTCTTTTGCTTACTACTTACAAGTTCTGGTAACAATCAATGAAAGACTAATTATTTATGTATTTTTGTATCTTTCTTAATTACAATGTTGATAAAAATTAATGTTAATGTAAATAGGTTAACTTTTGGTTTCTAATAAAAATTACTATCTAGTGAGCAATTAACGAGGTATAATCAAAATCATGAAGGAGATGCCTGTTTTGATGGTTACAAGAAAGCTTTATTATAAACTCGCTTATTCACACTCAACTTCATTTATATACAATTTGTTTTCAACAGACTCACTAACAATTAAAGAAAGTCAAATATATTAGAGGTCACCTGAAGGGGATTCAAAATAAAAATCATCAACAGCCAGTGGGAACAATAACAACTAACAAGATTGATAATCAACCAGAAAGTGAACCTAAAGTCTTCAATGTAAGTTTTCCAAGCCAGTCTAAAAAAACCAGATTACATGAGGATGGATATCTCTCCATTTTAGCAACTTTACCTTTTCAAATTGATTTAAACAATCAATTCTGGTGATCTCAATGATTATTTAAGTGTCGATAAAAGGTATCTTGATATCAATTGATAACTGATTTAGATGACAAACAAATAGATATCTTACCTTGCCTGGGATAATCGGTTGCTATCATTGTTCGTTGGTTTTACAATATATGGAGATCTATGGTAAGAAATCGAAAGCAAATGGATTAATATTTTGTTGAGCAAAAGGTTAACTATATTAGCTGATAATAGTGTTTAATCAATTTAGACTTACCTTGCGATTGGAATGTTTATTTGGTTCGTTTTCTGGTTAATATTGTTGAAAACCAGGGAGAAAATGGTTGAAACCCAAAACGAAGAACTCGAAATTTCTGGTTTTTACGCAGCAAAACTCAACCAGTTTAACTCTATAGTAACAAGTGAATGAGACTGGCAATAGTGGTGTAAACAAATGGCTTTTTTTAATGATTTTTGATGGTTAATCAATTATTGAAAATTAATTTAAATGGTGTTTCCACAATAGGATAAAATATTTATAAGGTAAATTGTATTTGCAAGTGTAACTACTTTTAGATTGGTGTAAATTGTAAATCATCGTAAGCAAAAGCAAAACAAGAATTGAAAATAAGGTAAAGTGTGTGAAGTTACTGTGTTCAGTAAAAATATATAACTCTGGGCTAGAACGTTTCTTTATATTCTTGTGATTCCTGTCATTATCAAATTGATCATCGGTCCAGATCAGGGTACAATAATTGTTGTCAATCTAGACTAATTGTTGTTGACAAGTTGTATTAATTTGCTAATCAGCCGACCAAGTGGTTAAAGGAAAATAAAGATAGACAAAAAATTGATATACACTGATCAAGATGACAAACCCAAACAGAAGAGTTTAGGATTTACGCAAAATTGTAATCAGATTTGATTGTTTTCAATTTACTTTTAGATGCATCATCAACAATCAAACACCAATTGATCCTTTAATTCGAGTATATTCTGGATTGAACAAGATTCAAGCTGAAAAGTAAATCAAATTCAAAGCGAATTCAAATTTTCAACTCTATCTTCAAATGAAATCTCTTCAAATTTTCTGGTATCTTTTACATTCTTTACAATTTTGTCAGACATTTTCTGGTTCTGGTTAAGTTTTTGACCCGAAAATTATTGCCGCAATTAAACCCTTTTTTTATTGCCATTTATTAATTGTTCAGTTTTGCTATAAATACGTTAACAGTTGACATTTAAATTGATCCAATTTAACAACCTTTACCTTTTGGATTGAAATACTTGGAAGGCAAAAATTAATCAATCAGCTTTTAATTCATTTGTTTTTGGGTCTTTTCCGATTTCAAGATTAAACAATGAATTAATCAATAACTGATTACCGTTTGATCAAGGATCTTTCATGTTATCAACAAATCATAATAAAAGCTTCATTTGTTATCATGTAACTGTTGATCATCACTTTGATTACAATTAGATAATTACATCTGAAACCTTAAACATAACAACAGTAATCAACATGTTTTAAAGACTATTACGTTGACCTTGTTGGTGACTGATTAATATAACTTAATCATTTATTATGATTCAAGGTATTTCCCAGTTAAACATATTTGCTTTTGCAACGGTTAATCAACATAATTTAACCGGTTAATTCATATGTTTTTTATTTCATATTCAATTACGTTTATTGATTAAAATCTAAGCCTTGATTACATTTCAATAAAAGTATATCATCCGACTAATCTGACTGTTTAATAGCAAGTATCAGTCAACTGATGAGATTTAATCATCTCAAGTATCAAGAAAATTGATCGTAATCAATTGCTTGTTACCAATCATTTAGATTACCTTGAAAACAGCATCAAAAATTGGACAATTTAAAGTTGATTAAAAACTGGTCAGCAATTTGGCGAGACAAATCCATTACATTTTAATGTAAAAAAGCTGATCATTTGGTTACATGGAAATTTGATGTTCAATTTTTAAATTTTAAAATTTGGGTTTAGGTTTTTTTTCTGGTTTATTTTCAACTTTACAATGGGCTGTCTCGAAGTGAACCAGAAAATGAAGCTGCATGTAGTGAAGGTTTAAGATAGGAATCATCTAGAAACAATCTTGAAGTAAAACCAGAAGTATAATCTGGATTAAAAGGGTTTGAGGTGAGTTGGTTTGTTTCAGTTTCTTTAGTAGTTACCTTTAAGGTCTTTTAAGTACAACATTGATCCAATGACTTGACCAGCAACTAGAAACCAGGACAGACCAACAAGTAAAAGTGCCTTAACAGATATTGTCAGAGCATCGTCTGAATGGTTGTGGACTCTTGAGACGGGAAAATCAATCAAGTTGATTGAAGCTTGGCTTGAAGTGACCAGGATAATTAGAGCCAGTGCGTAGAGGACAAAGAGACCAGTGTAAAATTTGACCAAACAAGGTGTTCCAAGAAGAATGACAAGGATAAAGATTGAGTTGACAATACAACCGACCAAGGGTAAAGGAGCAATGGACACGTTAAACTCAAGGTATTGATAGATGGACAATCCAAGAGCAACCAGAGTAATTAAAATGAGGAAAGCTCTGGACCAAGTCCAGTAACAGATTGATCTGAAAAAATAGTTCATCTTTCAAGGAAACAGTTGAAAAAACCAGGAAAAATGGGCACAAAATGAACGGTTAAATTTTTTCAGAAAATTGTCTTTAAAGGCAACAACCTAAAACACCAGCAAAAGTATCTCTGAAAGCGACTCTAAAATTGCCTCTAAAATGATCAACTGACCATTTAATCTTGCTTTATCTAATCTACAACAACCAAATTGGCTTTGTGATTAATCTTTGAGTCAAACTGGCTAAGATTAGAGTTTCAGCTTCTTTAAAGTTGAAAGTTTATATTGCTTGGTAACAATATCGACATTGGATAATTGGACAGTTTTTAAATTAAAAAGGCCATCAGAAAGTTAAGGATAACATTAGCCTTTTAGATAGTTAAATGATCAATGAGCGAGAGAAAAAAATTATCAAAATAATCAATCAATTTGATGAATTGTTATTAGTTTTACCTTTGAAAGATAAATTGATAGTTAAGTTTATAATTTAATTAAAGCCAAATTGATTTTGCCACTCGCACTCGGTAATCGTGTTACAATGTATTTTCTAGCCGGAAGAAGCGTTGAGCTAAGTTAATCGAGGATGAAATGAAAACCGCTCGAGATTCAAGGTAATGGACAGTCGACGAAATGTAAACATTTAATGAAACCCAAGAGTACCAAGGTTCTGTTCTCCCATCCTCGTCATTATGCTCATGAACGACATGAACCAATAGCGAACATTTTTCTTCCCTTAACGCATTTAGGGCTTAAATTTAGAGAATCAAATTGTGAATTTAGAGCTTTGTCATAATTATCTGGTGGCATTCAATTCCTATTCCAATAAAAGATTAATCCTATGAAATAGCTCCATGAACAGGTCTGAGTAAATGAAATTTCAATACACTAACGTTAGATGAATCAAAAGTAAAAGATTGTAAGGTAAAAAACAATGGATTATCATTAATAACATCTATTTCCTTAGTTGCAAATCTGTTAGAACTTAGACTCTGAACGTGTGTTTTCACCTGAAATTGGTTCCAAGGAACAATTAAACAAGTAAAAAATTATGAATTCAAGGATATAAAATGAAGAGGTAGAGCCACATAACAAATATGTGAATCAAATATCATGCTTGTGGTAGTTTCACTATTAGATGTGATCTATTGACAGAAATCGAAAGTCAATGGAATAATATTTCTTGAAAAAAAAGGTAAATCATATTAGCTGATAAGTGAATTAATTCAGACTTATCTTAAGAATGGAATGTTTTCTGGTTCGTTTTCTGGTAAATATTGTTGAAAAGCAAGGAGAAACGATTAAAAGCAAAACGAAGAAACTCGAAATTCTGGTTTTTACGCAGCAAAAGCTCAAGCAGTTCAAGTCAATTAGATTGTAAGCAATGGGTAATTCAATTGTTTATTAATCATTGAAAATTAATTTAAATGATGTTTCCACAATAAAATGATATTTATACGGTAAATTGCAGCTGCAAGTGTTACTGCTTTGGAATCATTGTTAACAAAAGAAGACGGAATTAAAAAAAGCTTCCAATAATGTTTGAAACTTCATGGATAGGCTTCATCTGAATCAGGCATATCTCGTCGATACCAATCAGCAGCTCTTTTAAAGCTAACCTTGTTTGACTTCGGAATCCTCGGAATCCCAGAAGCGCCAGTGTTACTTTTCTTGGCCTTTTGCAAAGTGAAATATCTTTTGTTTTTCGTTATGGGAACTTCATTTCCACGGGTTAACCCTGCCAAATCAAAATCAGATGAAGTTGTACTCACATCGGAAAATCGATTCTCTGAAGGTCTAGCCTCATACGATGGTAAACCAGGATAGACTCGCTCGGGTATCGAATACTCTGGACTGGGTCGTCTGGCTGGTCCTCGGTATGGATGGTTCCTGGATTCTGATTTTGATGAATTCTTGTTGAATATAGCTTTATAGAGCAAAGGGATAGATTGAATATGAGGTAAAAGGGATAATTAAAGTAATGAAACAAAAAGCTTACTGTAAACTTGTATTCCAATAAGTGAGACAACACCTAAAACTAGAAGTAGACCAACACCTAAAATTAATGTACTTTGCTGGGGTAAAGCTACAGGTAAAAGAATCGAGAAAAAAAGAAGAAAAAATGAAAGTAAAAGAATGAATTAAATCAGATGGAATCATACTTGAACTAGCAGCGGATGAACAGTTGCCTGATGGTCCATTTGGTTTGATTGTTGCTGGTTTGTATGTATTTGGTGACTTGGTTGTTGGATAATTTGTAAATGGTCTGTAAGTTGTTTGTCTAGTAGCTGCTGTTGGCCTGGCTGTCCAACTTGTTGTTAGAGGTGGCCAGTGTGGTGTGGTTTGATAAGGTGGGTCAGTTTCGTAGGTTGGTTGAGTTTCGTAGGTTGATGTAGTTCCATAGGTTGGTGTCGTTCCATAGGTTGGTGTCGTTCCATAGGTTGATGTAGTTCCGTAGGTTTTTGTAGTTCCGTAGGTTGTGCTTGTTGGGTAGGTCTGTCCTGTTGGCCATCCCGTTGTGTATGAAGTAGTTGGTACTGTCCAAGGAGTAAGTGGACTCGGTGTTGTAAATTGGGGGAATTGAAAGAGAATTTTCATTGGAAAAAAATGTATCCAAAATTAACTAATCAATGCAAAAACTGATTATGCTTTACCAACAACAGCATATCAAGAGATGTAAAATATAAAGCTTCCTTAGTCTTGGTTCAGTCAATTTTGTCTCAATACGGCAATTGACTCAAGAAAACATTTCAACTCGTCTTGTCTGGTCAACATTAATTCAGATTAAATTCAATAGTAATTCAAAGGTAATTTCAAATAGTTACACCAAAGAGGTTCAAGTTTTACAAGACGAAATGGTTATACCTGTATAATCCCGATTAAATTGGCAATTATTAAAATTGCCATTTGGCTAAATAATCCTCATTTTAAAGCAAAAATTTGTTAGGCTTTGATAAAACATTCAAATAATGGTTAACATAAGAGTTGATTTTTGAACCAGCGAGACTCGAATTGTTCATTTAATTTCCAACATTTGGAAAGTTCATTGAAATCTTTGAATTGCAATGACTTATCATGAATACAATCTTTTATCGCGATTGTCTCATGTTTTCTTGGTAAATTCAATATCAATGAATGAATTAGAAACGCGAAAAGGAGCGAGAAATGAATTAATGTTTAATAAAATGCTGTCCATCTGTTAGTGTTGGACGATAATGTTAATGAGGTTTTTATTAAAGACACAAAATGGACACAAAACGCAATATTAACTTACTGAACTTACTAAATTTACAATCTAAATCTACTTTTGTTTTGTTACACATTTGTTAAATTAAATCACAACTTTTAAACACAATGATGATGATGAGGAAAAGCCATTCAATCAAATTGATTATAATCATAAGGATGTTGATGAGCATAGTATGAATTGAGTGCAACATTTTCCTCTCGACGTTTACGTTTACCACTTGAAGGAAAGAGTCAGCAACCGTAGAAAAAAAACAAGAAAAAAAGATCATTAAGATCACAATTAAAGAAACAATCAAAAAAAAAATCAAAATCAAACTTACATTCGATCAAAATCAAAGTCACCAATTGCCATTGAATTTTGAGCCCTTAAAGCATGATCGCGTCTACGTAAAGCCAAAAGTGCCTCTAATTCAGCCAATCTTTGATCCGAGATTCCACTTCTTTTAGACCTGATAAAAGGTAAAGAAAGGTAAACATTTAGTTAACAATCAAAACCAGATTAATAACTACAACTGAAAGGGTTTCACTTGTCAACAAAGGCAACAATGAAAAAGGTTTACATTGAAGTACAACTTGCTCTCCAGTAAATGTAATACACTTTTCCTATCACATTCAACATCAGTGTAAAAAAAAGGTTCATTCAAAGGTTTAATCTGATCAGAAGAAGAAGAAGCAAAAAATGATGAAAATGTGTGAAAATGAGTTAAAAATGAGTTAAAAATGAAAAGATATAAGACTTTATTAACCCAAATGACGTGAATATTGAAAAGATGATTGATATTGTAATTGATTGAAATGTTGTCAAACGTAAAGTGTGAAAAGGTGACAAACTGTTAAGTCTCTGGTAATACAATGAAATGAATTTGAATAAAAGGTTAAAAGAAGGAGAAAAAAGATGGAAAAAAATTAATCCTTTCAAGCTCATCATCAGCTATTTACCAGGAAAAGTAATACAATTGAAAAGTTCACCCAAAAGATGAACCCAAATTTGGATAAACTGGTTAACCTGTGGACATTCATTTCGTTTCAACCAAAAATGAATAATTGAATGGTTTCAAAAAGTAAACATTAAAAGTGTATTAAATAAGGATTATTAACCAGAAATGGCAACTTTTCTGGTTAATAAATAATAAAATTGGATAAAGCAAATTGTCTGGTTTTGAAACTGGTGTCAAGTTAATTGTTATAAAACCAGTTTAATCGTTTGGCTACTTACAACTAAACTCAATGATAATAATTCAAGAATATGATAATATCATGATAATAGGCATCATTAGAGCTCTTAATCACCCAACACACACACATTATTTAATCTAATAAAGAGTTGAAAATTCATGAGTAAACAGGGAAAGTTGAAAAGCCATCAAGTTAATCAATTTACATGGTAATGAGCTTTTCCACTTTAACCATTTAATAACATCTTTTTTAATAAACATTGACCCTTCAATCAACCTTTAACCGTTATTGGTATTTCATCGACACTTGAACATTTTAATTATCACTCAACAATCGACAAAAGAATTTCATTTTTTTCCATTCTTCATTTTTATCCTTTTTACCTGAAAAAAGTTGGTGAAATTAACTAATCAAGTTAACAATTAACAGATAAAACTCAACCTTTCAATTCCAATCTCATTATCTTAATCTAATGTGTTTGTTTAAAGTAATATTGAAATTTTTTGAATAACTTTCACCTTTTGTTATGGACTTTCAGCTTTTATCTCTTCTTTTTTTGTCTGATTTCATTGCTTTTTATTCAATGAAAAGAGACAAAAATTTGATCACATTTTAAGAACTTTATCTGGAGAAAAGAGAAGGCATTTCTTCCATGTTCCAGTTATTCAAAAATTCATTTCTTGCATTACAATAATAATGATAATCAGATAAAATTGAATGTGTTTTTCACATAAATGGATTGTTTTGCTCTTTGAGCAAACCTTTTCTTGTTCATCCTTTTTCCTTCATTCATCATTGATTCTCCATGAAAAGGTGAAATCTTTTATCAGGATTATCACATTCAGAAAAATTCTGTAAAATAATTATCAATATAAATATGCTAAAAGATTGTATCAAAGTCAGGAATCATCTGAAAATGAGAAAAATATTTTACAGAGAAAAATGTTTTTTTCAATTTTTACTCGTTTCTGTAAAATCTCAACTTGAAGTCTTCAAATGATTCAAAGATGAATTTTGCTAAACTTGGATATTAAATTAGCATTTTCCTCTTTTTATACCAAATAATATCTCAATTTGTTCATTAAATTATACCTTAAATTGCTGTTAAACATTCAAAGACAATTGATAAATTGGAATGAAAATTTGAATTTCAAAACTGTTTTTTTTGACTTTTCTTGAAAAATCAAAATTGAAATAGTTTTAATGATTAATCCCTTGATAGTGAAATTGAATTAAAATCATTGTAAAGTAGCTGAAAGTTGAGAAAATTGGTGAAGAGTTAAGTTGGCAATCAGTTAATTAGCTGTTCATTTTGATTCTGTTTTTTTCTTCATTCCAATTCTCAATTCAGCTTCAGATTAATGATTAAAGTTGTTTGCTTTTGTTGAAGAAACGCGTAATTGATTAACTTTAAGTTAAAGGTTTTTGATGAAAGTTGAACAAGATAAATATGAAAAGTTGATTTAAATAAATGATAATCTTTCAGACTCTTGTTTGACTCTTTTGATTACCTTTTGTGTTTACCTTTACTTTGATTAATAATTCAAATCACTTGGTTTATAAACTATTCTTGAGTTTAGCTTCTTCAAGTGGAAACATTAATTTTAGTTCAATTCAGTATTTTTTTGCTTCTTCTTCTTCTTCTTCCATACAATGGCAATAACATGATAAAAATGATTAAAGATTGATGTTAAACTATATGTTAACCTGTATTAAGTCTTGTAATATCATATCAAAGCAATTTCATTAGGCTTACCTTGTTGACTGGGAATGGTGTTGAGAGGTTGAACGTTTCATCTTTTCATTGAAAGATTTATCTGAAAGTGATTTGGTTAATGGAATCGACGGTCGACTTTCAACTGGACCAACCAGGATCCAACCATTGGGTTCATCGGTTTCACTTGGATCAACCAAGAAAGATGAACCAGCCAAAGTTAAAGATGAAGGTGAAGATGTTGATGGGTTGGAGGGTGAAGAGGGAAACCAGGTTAAAGGTGAACCAAGAACAAGTTGAGATGAGTTAAGGCAAAAACTGGTTACAATTAAAAGGATTAACTTTGATCGAGTGGACCAGTTTGTGAATAAAACGCTGATTAACATTGAATGAAACATAATTTTATTTCCTCTTTCACAGCAAATTTTGATAAAAGTTAGCAAACGGTTGGATTAGGTTTTAAGAAGAAGGTAAAAGGTTAAAATGTTAGGTTAAAAGCGCTTCAACGGGCACCAATCAATATTTATAAATCCAATGAAAAGGTTAACACTCAATGTCTTGTTGGTGACAATTGTTGATGTAAACTTGGCGAGTCACAAAATTGTAATGGTCAACCTTGTGCAAAGTTGCAAGTTTTTTTTCGCTTTTTTTGTGTCTTTCTTTTTCAAGTTATCACTTTATCTTGGACCAAAACCTGCAAATTGACAATATTTGTTTCTTGTTTTTTGTTTAATATTGATTGTTGGCTTTGATTGTGATCAACATTGATCAAAAATGTTTGCTTCTTTGAGGAACCAAAGTGTGATTAAAGAACCATGATTAGTCAAGGTTTAGTCTTTTTTAAAAGGTAAGTGTTTGGTGCAATTCAAATGGTATTCGGGATTCTGATAAAGAAAATGTTCAAGAGGTAAATAATGAAAAAAATGGGTTATTGTTGTGGAAGGTAAAGTGAAAGACTAATTTTGTAGAGTTAAATGTTTCTTTTATACCTTTTTTTGTGTGATAATTCAACTGATTATCTGGACTTTCTATGACAATTAACCTTTTCAGTTATTGTCTCATTTGATTATTGAATTTATGACTTTTGTCTTAACAATTTCACAGACAATATGATAACACTTAAAACACTGGGAAACAAGTTTAAGTTGGTCAGTTGGTTAAACGATAAAAACTTGCAATTTTTTGTCTTGTTCAAGATTTTCACTCTTCTTATCGTCTGTTTGGTTTGATGTTGATGGATTCAAATCTTTCTGTTTTTATCCCAAAAATATTAGCGTCGACACAAGGCAAAGGAAAACGAGATTCACAGTTAACTTTTAATGATTTCTTATTCTTCTGTTCAGAATGAAATGCTGATGATGTTGATGATGATCAAGATGATAGAGCAATAACTCCTAACAAAACTCACAGGTTATCAATTGGGCAGAATCGTTGTGTCACTTTTATTTTCCTATTCCATTATTATTACCACATTTAGCATTTTTAATGGCAAAATGTTGAACAATGTGAAATTAAAGGTTCATCTTTACAACAGATAATCAACAGATTTACTCGTGTTATGGTCAAGAAAAGAGACTGAGAAATCTATTGATCTGTAAGGTGTTTATTTGCTTCTAATTTGTCTGGTTAATCTTGTTTTTCACCTTCTTCTGCTCACCTTGATGACTTTTCTGATGAATTTTTGTCTAGCCTGGAATGGTCATCATTCAATTGGGTAAAGGCTATTGATGCTTATCGAGCAGAAAGGAATGGGGAAAAAAGAATTTCATTGCTTATCAATTACTCAACATTTTCTTTATCATTTCATTTGCAATATTTTGATATTTCTCTCATTTTTGCACCCATTGGGATTGGATTACCTGTTACATGTTATCGGTTCAATTTTCCTCTGATTGTGTGTCAATATTGTTCAATGTTTCATGGATAATGTCTTCTTTATTATTGATAATTTTTGGTCAGCAAACTGGTTAAACCGATACTCAATTTGGCTTCTTTCAATTCACTTTCTTAACCAGAGTTGCTTTGAAATTTTAAACAATGAAAATCAGAGAGATGTAAAGGTTAACCCAAACCAGATTTTGGTTTGTTAGAGAAAAGGTTAAACGTCTGTTTGAAAGGTTATTTTCATTTGATTTCTCATTCATATTGACATTGGATTTGCTCTGAAATTTGGGTAATTTTGGTTGTTTCACACCAAAAACTAGTCCAACTAACCTAAATTGTATCAACTACAATTGTATACTCATCGATAATGAAAACATATCAAACCAAATAACCAGAAGCCATTTCAACATTTAGTTAAACAATTCCCAGTCAGTTTACCAGCTGGTCAAAGTCAACTTGACCAGTTTACCAGAAAACAATTTCAATTTTTCTACCTGTTGTAGCTGTTAACAAGTCTTGACATTGATCAAATTAAAATGTTAATTGTCACACTAATTGATTGTCTCTATTAGCTGGTTAGCTTTAGTTTAGCTCGTCATTTGCCATACTTGCAAACCAGTCTGGGTATCGATAGGCTTTTGGGTTTATTGACAACCAAAACTATTGATGAACCAAAATTTGCTTCCTAATTCCCTCAATTAACAATAGCCATTAACCTGACATTATTTCAACTAATTGTTACGATTGATCATCACTTGCAATTGTTAGTCTCTCCTAAATTCATTGGGTTACTTTTTGGGTTAACAGAGACAGTTAAGATTCCTTGTTGGTTTTGGTTCACTGGATTCAATTCAATTGATTGTTTCAAATTGTTTCAATTGGAAAGCATAAAAAGGTAAACCGTTTGATATTCAGAGAGTCAAATGATTTCCATGTAATTTTAATCATGGAAATCATTTCTTTCTTTTTCAGTCCAATTCATTATTGATAAAGGTTTTGAAAAGGTTTAAAATTTTGGCCAAAAAATTATTGTTCATTTCATGTCTTTGAATAATAACAATGGTAACAATAATGGGATTGAACATTGAATGATAAATGAGATTGTACTTTTCATACTTTCCGCAACATTCAATATTGATCATGAACAGTCTTTAGATTATCATGAATACCTCAATCCTTTATAGAAAACCTTTTCAGAACTCAGAGTTTATAAATTTATCATGTCATTAAAAGCAGCACTGAACAGTGTTTGAGAAGCTTTGTTTTTCAATTTTTTCACCCTTCATTGGCTATTTATTAATCAATTGATTTTCATTACTTGATTAACTTTCAAAAGTTAACATTTTCATCAACCTCAACAAGCCTCAATTTGATTAACTTTTCATGAAAAAATCTTGTTCATCCTGATGAATATTTCATCAGTCGATTCCGTTTTTAGATTTAAAAACATTGCTAATCAAATGGATTGAACTTACATTGATTTGGATCGCGTTTGTGAATATAATGAGAGGCAAAATTAGGTTGACATTTTGTCATTCTTTAACATTTTTGTTTTACTTTTGTTAATCAATTTATGTTTTCAATGTTTTTCAATTCAAATGTAATACAAATTGTAATATTTGTTTGACAAATCATTTAATTGTATTATTTATCCATGACATGCAATTGACTTTGGATTCACTTGCATGTCAAGTTTGCCTTTTCAAACAATGAAACTTGAAAGTGATTTTCAATTTATTATTTTCAATTGTTTCAATTGTTTCAATTGTTTCAATTCAGACGTCATTTACATTTTTTTTAAATTGATTGGAATCATATTTATAAATCAATCTTTTAAAGGCTTAATTAAAACAAGTTCAATTAATAAATGAAATTTAATTTTGGGTTTTGATTTGATAGAGGTTTGTTGTGCCATCTTGTGTTAATAATTACCAACTTTATGCTTTATGCTCACAGAACCAGATTTTTTTGTTGTAACAATGTTTGTTTTTGCTGATCACTATTTAACCTTAAGTATTAGTTTGCTAATTGTTGTTTTCTGATTTTAATTTGTTTTACTTTAGTCACGTTCAAAACTAATTAGTTAAGTATTCATATCACATCGCTTTGGATGGCTTAAATAACAATTCAACTCAATACATTTTGGTTACCATTTGGTTTCTTTATTTACGGTTAATGGACAAAGCCTTAGAATTGAGGATTTCAATCAAGCTCATCCGAGACATTGTAATTTGGATAATTTAAATTCATGGATGAATGTGATTTTACTTGGAACTTTTAGAAGGCTCATTGAATCAGCCCAAATCTTGAGATTCAATGAAATCGGATCAATCTCACATGTTGGCCTGAACTCTATTAAAGTCGAGTATATCTTATGGAGGTAATAACTCTTATTGTAGCCGATATCCTGGTTATACACGCAAAACTTCGGGAAATTACATGATAATCGACTTTACCTTTAGTACCAACTGAACCAACTGCAGTTTTTCACTCCATCTATTCACTAGTTATACTTTCATCTAAAACGCGTGTTTATACACAATTAAACATGCGATCGGTAATAGGATAACCAATAATTGTTGAGTTTTCTGTATTTCAAGACCAACTATTTCTGGTCATTTCATTTATTAAATCACATTATAAGCATGAATACGGCATGTTGGCTTTTGTTACCATTGCTACGACCCTGTTTAGATGCTTGTAAATGGATCTTATAAATGTTAATCAGCCTAATCTGAATGATTGAAGCTTAATTACTCAAGTCATTGAAGCTTTACAGTTGACTAATAAAAATGATAGCTACAAAAAGAGACGGAAAGAAGTAACAAAACTAAATAAAAAATTGGTGATGAAAGTGCTGATGATGGTTCCTTTTGTTTCACTTTTACCTACCGGATTCCCAAACAATCATCGAGTAAATTGATATAGTCATTAATACTATCATGATGTTTAATTTCATACCCACTAATTACTATCACTAATTATTTAAACATATAACAGCAAAAACGAACCTTTCATCAGCCATTTAACAGAAAGACAATAAATTTTCACCAAAACCAAATTTTCAATTTACATAAAGCATCATAAAATGTGTGTTACTGCCATTTAATTGTTTCATTTTCAACTTATAAAATTTGATGGAAAGCTCACAATAAGATCAAATGTTTCCAATTGGGAAAATTTTAAGCTCAAGAAATGTGAATCAATATTGTTGATACTCAATGATGACAAGTTGATAGCTTGAAAATATTATAAGCCAACAATTTAATTGTCATTTAGTTGCCATTTTCGTATACTACAATTAAACGTTGATATCTAATCATTTGAAAACTCACAGCTTTTCACAAAAAGCTGAAAAATCCCGAGTCAAGAAATCATTTTAACGTGATTACATTGAAATTGGGAAATTTTGAACCCAAATGTTTCTGGCTAGAAATTGAATGATAAATTGCTTGAAAATGGCGATGAAATTAACGATTCATTCATCAAATTCAACTCAATTAAAATCATTAAAATCAGATTGCAATTAAATATTAATTATTCCATCACTAAATTGCCAATCATTTCACGTATTTCACTGTTTTTCCTGGTTCCTCACTAATTGATAAGCAACTATTAAAAGACTCTTTGGTCCAGCCATGGATCCATCAAGAATGGACTTTCATTGTCATATATTGTTGAAATGATTTATCTAATGATTAATCTGCTAATTTTCCAGGTTTAATCCAGTTAATATTTGACTTTTCTTTGCTCAATTACAATACAAATTAACTTTCACTTGACTCATATTAACCATTGAATCAACAAACGGTTTCCATTTATTCAGATTGCTTTGAATAAAACATGAAAAATATCGATTAAAAGTCACTTTAAATTGACTCTAATTTGAAGGTTAAATTGTTTACAATTAAACTAAAAATAAGACAGTTGAACTCACCATAAGCATCTATTGTTTGGCATAGGTTTAACTGAATAAACTGGATTTAATCAAGAATTTTTTTCTTCTGCTTTTGTCATTTCAGCTTCCATTAAGGTGAACAACTACGATGATTAATTGTTTTTCTTGACTTTGATTGTTCAATGAATCAAGTCTCATTCGACTGAGCAAATTTGCAATTCCAATTGTTACTTTCAAACGTTTTTTCAACATCAACAATTGACATTTTCATTTCTTACTTTCCCGATGATTTTTTGACCTGTCATCAGCCATTAAATATAATTTCATATTATTTCATGATGTAAGTCAAGTCAATAAATCAAAAAAGATTCAATCAACAGATTAGCAGACAATTAATCCAGCTTTGAACCAAATAATTTGGTTGATCAGTTGATTGTGTATCCAAATTAAAATAGGAGAACCATTGAATGACAAATTATCCAACATTTTCATCAGCTTTGGTTATCAACATTTTGACTTGTTTTTTCCACTTAAAATACTAATTTATTATTAAATAATCATCAAATAATTTAGACAATTTAATGTCTAACAATTAAGTGAACGATAAAACGTTTAAATGGATTAATTTTAATGTCGCTCAATTTGGTTAAGGAAAATTTAGACGTTCAATCGGGTTCAAGTTTCTTGTTATCCAACTGTTTGTCAAAAGACTGCTCAAAAGCTTTAGGTGTTGATATGATTTTTCAGATTCTTGTATGGATTTTGTTTTAATTTATTGATTGATTTGACTATTAACTAGGAAATTATACGTATTGATACGTTGATTGCCTTTTCTGACTCTTATATAGCTATTATTTCTTCCTTTTGATTGTGTATTTTTGTTCAATATTTTTGACTAACTTGACTTAATAGGTTAATGATTTGGTTAACAAGCTATTCATCTGTTTAATTGGCAAATTACTGATTTGCTTCAATAGTTCTGGCTCATTTGAATATTTTCCAGTAAAAGACATGAAAGAGGCAAAAATCCAAGATTAGAGTTGAATTAGCAACAAATGTTTAATGATGGTTAAAAGTTAAATAGTAACAAAAGGAACAGTCAATAACAAAAATACTTGTAAAAAATACAAAAAAACAAAAATTGGTATTAAAATAAAATAATATGAGTCAAGTTGCTTGATATCAAAATTTCAAGCAAATATCAGTGGATATGTAATTGATTTGCTTTAACTTGAGATAGATAAATGGCGGAATTGAAGATTTTGCTCGATAGATAAAGGGCGAGGTTAGTCAATGAAAGATCTGTGAGTTGTACTCTCCATTGATGGATACATTGAAACTGGAATAAATATTAATGTTCTGGTACGAACAGAGATATTGAAAGAGAAAGCTGGTCAAAAATTTAACGGCCATATCAGCTCAATATTCATCGACAATTACACACTGTTTTTCATCGATAAGAAGTGGTTTGATGGTTTCCAGAATGCTGTTAATTTTTGCTTCGTCAATATTCAGTGCCATTTCTTTTAAGGGTTTGGCTTCCTTAGGAATTCTATGATAATTTGTCTTGGAAAAAACACCAGTTCCAATGAAATCGGGTAAGTTAGAAGCTGGAATGAAATCTAGAATACCTTTAGAGTCCACAAATTGTAAGCCACCAAAACCAATCATTTTCCCAAACATTCTGAGCATTCGAGACGCCCCATAAATTAACATGTATCGCATTCCAAGAGGATAATAATTTGAGATTATTGTGTTTGCCTCTTGTAGCCATGATGAGTTTAATTGGGAATAATCGGATCCAGTGACATCAACAACCAACCCCCAAGAAGCGACACGCTCTGAAGATCCATCGATTCTGTCAATATTATGAATCAGAAGAGTTCGTACAATATCGCTCAAGTCAGTCAGTTTCATGAGTATATTTCCACGGATGTAAAGCACATTATTGTCTCGATAATCAGGAAGATATTGGAAAACTGGTGCCAGATTATATATCTCACGAGGAATTACCAATTGGTTGAAGTAATTGACACGATTTGCTTTCCGCCAGGCAAGGTATTGTTTCAAGCATTCCAGTCCTTTGACTGGTCCATTTTCATTGCTCAAAATGAACCGTTTGACCAACCAATCATTATTCATAACTCTCTTGTAATCAATTTGATCGCAAATTCCAGGTTCATCGCCGTATTCTTCATCAAACCACATTCGAAGGTCACTAATTTCTTCACTGATTGTTTTCCGTTGCTTCATTTTGCTAATAACAGGTCAATTGTTTTTCCCTCCTTTTTGATGATACACGAAAGTTTTCCTAGATTATTGTGGTTTGTCAACTATTTGATAGCTACTTTGCAAGCTATTATGGGCCAACACAATGTGAAAACCTAAGCTAACAAAAGGAGAAAAGAAAATATCAGAAGATAGAAACACAAATTATGCAAAAACAATAATGTTAACAGAAGGTAACAACTTAAGGAGACAAAATGCTGAAAGTTAGACTATTATTTAACAGTATGTGAACAAGACAATTTACCTGAGGCACCGTGAAACCAGTGTTGAGACGATGTAAGTCACCTGTTAATGTTGCAATGTTAATTGTACAAGAGCAAACATGAAAATGTACACTTTAGATGTTGGTGTAAGATGTTTTCTCAAGACATTAGCCTTGCAAAGGAAGACAAGGTAAAAATCATCATTTTGTTGATGATTAATAAACAATAGTTATAAAAGTTGATTGCCACTTGTTGATTTGTTGTTGTCTCTTCAGCGGAAGATTAAAGACAAGAAACAGGAGCTGAATGAGACTGAGCAAAAAAGTGAGGCAAAAAGGAAAGAGGAAAAGACAGATTAATAAATAACCAAACGGCTGATTGAACAAGTTGGCGCTCATTTAGTTATCAACTTACAACTTCACGAGGCCATTCAAATTTGATTTTTGTCTCAAATTCAATTAATCTGTCTAAAAGTTCATTAAACTGATTATAACCTCATCTACATGACACAAAAATTTAGAATTACGAATTTATGGTTTGCTATATGGAATTCAGATTCATGGATTTATTATTATAATTTGAACATACCTTAATTCACCAATTTTTGGATGAGATTATTCCTTTGAAATAGTAATAAGTTAAACTTTCACTTACAGTTGACTATTTTTTGAATTTAATTGAAAATGAAATTGAAATTTTTTACACTTTTAATAGTTTTACATAACAACATTCATTTTGATTAATGAAATTTTATTTTGTTTTTGATTTGACAGAGGTCTGTTGTGCCATCTTGTGTTTATAAATATAAACTTTATGCCTTTATGCTTAAAGCTAGAACCAGATTTGATCACAATCACTGATTTTTAATCACTTTTAACCTTAGCTTAAATTGTAACAATGTTTGCTTTACCGATCACTAAACACGCTATTTAACCTCAACTATATCATTTCACTTTTGTCACGTTCAAAACTAATCGGCAATGAAACATGTTTAACAAACAAAAATCAACAATAATTGTATTATTTTGTGTAGTTGAAGAGTTAAAAGATCATTCATATTTCCAAATTCTGATTTTGACTAACAGAAAACAAGATGTAAATTTCACGAATTTAAATGTGAAATTAAGATGTTTAGTTTTCATGGAGAAGTCCGACAGGTTTTTTTGGTTGTAGCAAGTCTAGACTGATCACTCAAAGAGTCATTCAACTAACGATTCTGTACATAAGCAACGAAGTCTGAAAAACAACAAAATGTGAGTTTGATAGACATTTTTAGAGCGAGCACTTAATAAGCTGATATGAGCTGATATCACTTAAGGTTAAAAAATATCGAGGAAATGTTTCATACTTTACAAGTCTAAAAAAGCTACACTTATAACGATGAATACACAATAAATACTGAAAATGGTGTCGATCTTTTTTCGCATCTTTTGGTATACTTTTTTCACCAAATAAAAAGTATTCATGAAGAGTCTGACAAGCTTGAGGTAATTTTAGTTTACATGCAACATTTCTATCGCTTTTTCTGGCTCTGGTTTAATATCTTTGATATCGTTAGTTTCATTATTCGCTCCCGCTAACATTTGACCACCATGATAACACGATAGGGTTGGATCTTTTGTGCCATAACAACCTTTTATCCAATAATCTCTGGCTTTAATATAATCTTTCTCCACTGCCTTACCATATTTAACTAGATTTAGAATATAATATTTTCAAATAATTATCCTGTTCAAACCACCAGTCATGGGTTGAAGTAAACAAGCCAACTGCTTGAAAATTAATCCAACGATGGGTTTGATCGTTCGTTCGACATTGATTGAAATTTTGAACAGAATTCCGATTTAAATCAACAAAAGTAGGATAGATTAGATTCAAGTCGCTTCGATTCGTCATTGTAAATACGATAATTGCCTTGTTCTAAATGAATGCCTTTATTCTAGAGTTCGAGAATGAATAGTTAGAGAATGTTCAATAGAATCAAATATTGAACCAGTAAATATTTTACTCCACTTAAAAGGGGAAATACGGTTTTCTTGTTTATCTCTGGTTTTATAGCAACAGATACAGATACAGTATTGATCCGATTCAGGTATTAGAGAGTAAGCCAGTAAAAAATACCTTAAACTAGGCTGTAAGGGGCGATCAATAAAATATGAGACCAACTTTAAACAATGATATCTAGGTAATTATTAGGTTTATTTTATTAAATTTAGTTTTGATTCGATTATTGGGAATTATTAATTACTATTACTAAAAAGACATAAACTGACTCAATTGTCACAATCGTCACATTTAAGCACCAATTGACACAAATAGGGAGAAACGGGTAAAGATTGATTTATCAAAAAAGCTGAGCCCATTTGAAGTATTAAAAAATAATTATAAAAACTGTCGTGGAAAAATGAATTCAGCTCTCTAACTACTACGATCAGAGAAAGCGGCCAATTTAAACCAAAATCGAAATGATCTGCAGCACAGAAACAGAAACTTTTTTTATATAAAAATGAGTGAATTTTCTGGTTGCTCATCAAAAGTTTCACCAACCAAATGATTTTGATACAGAAATCTGCTTCGATAATTGCACATAAAGCAATCGAAGTTTCAACTTTGAATTCGATTTTCTCGAAAATGACTCAAATGGACTCCTTAAAAACCAACTGAATCTAAATTTGAAATACATTAATAAATAAATCAATTTTTACCCATTTTTTCCATCAGGTCAAATTTGACAATTGTGACAAATGTATCAACTTGCGTCTTCTTAGTAACAACCCATAAAATAACTCTTTACAACAACAATGAAGGTGTGACAGCACTCCTATCTGATATCCAGTATCACATGAAAATTAGACTTAAAATCTTGATAAACACCGGCAATCCAATGTAAATGCATTCCATCTTTCATTCAACAATAATATTCATACAATGATGCCTTTAATCTTGTTATTTCATCCTTTTATGAACAATATTATCTCATTCTGAATATCCCTTTATAATGTACCTAACATTATGCAAGAGAGATTAAATGTTACTTGTATCACATATAATCTAATTATGTACTGATAAATTGTTATTAAAAAGGACTATAAAAAGTTTGCATTCCAATTAAAGTTTTCAAATTTCAAATCAAACCAATCCAAAACTAAAGTCAACATTTTTACAGAGTCCCAAAAAAATCTTTGATTTCAATACAGTTGATCGTTGATATAATTACTTCATCGAAAAAAAAAATGTTTCGTTCACTTTTACTTTTAGCCTGTATGGCTTCAACTTTTGCATCTGAGTTTGTTGGAAACAACGATATCCGGCTGGAATAAATGCGGCTGGAATACATTTCAAGTAATTTTCTGTAATTTTCATTTTCGTTAACATTTAGGAATTGAAATTAATAGCCGAAGCCAACAATAATGTCCATATATTGAAATTGGATGTAATTGATTACAACTCTTACAGCAACCTCTTCACTGAGCTTATAAGAATTGTTGGTAGCTCGGGTTTGGATATATTGATAAACAATGCTGGCATATTGAATAATTCCCCTCTTGATTCATTTTGTCAGTCACACCTGAAGAGTTGCTGAAAAGTTTCGAAGTCGATGCTGTGGCACCTTACTTATTAGCAAGAGCATTAACTCCTCTTATCAAAGCTTCTCAAAGAAAGCTGATCGTTGCGATTTCAACCGAAGCTGGAAGTATTGAAGATACCAATGCAAGCTTCGGAGGTTTTCCCGCTTACAAATAACTTTCACATTGATTGCTTTTGCTAGTGAAACAGTATCCCAGTAAACACTTTATCATGCACCTAATATAATTCTTTCAAAGTTGGTTGAATAATAAACTGAATATGCACCTATACTTTAGTTACACCCGCTGAATTATCGAAAATTATTCATGAACAGATTAAATGGTTTTCTAAGCAACTATAAAAACGTTTGCTTGCTAGTTGTAGCTTTCATTTTTCAACCAAAACTGGATTTTTATTATTGAGGATTACAACCAACCGACCAATACAAATACCAAAATGCTTGATGTTTCAACTGTTCTTGTTACTGGTTCAAATCGAGGAATCGGCCTTGAATTTGTTCGTCAACTTGCTTCACTGGAACCTAAAATCTCTCATGTTATTGCCACTTGTCGAGATCCAGATGCTGCTGAGGTAAGAAAATACTGATATGTCTTTATACGTTAAGATACATTCAAACTGACTTTGCGATCTTAATTTTCATCAACATTTAGGAATTGAAATCAATTGCCAAAACCAACAATAATGTTCATATATTGAAATTGGATGTAATTGATTACAAATCTTATGACAACCTCTATGCTGAGGTTAAGAAAATTGTTGGTGAATCGGGTTTGGACATATTGATAAACAATGCTGGAATATTGATTCCTAAACCTCACGATGCAGTGACACCTGAAGAGTTGCTGAAAAGTTTCGAAGTCAATGCTGTTGGACCTTACGTATTAGCCAGAAAATTAACTCCTCTCATCAAAATTTCTCAAAGAAAGTTAATTGTTGCAATCTCAGACGAAGCTGCAGTTATTGATGGTTATAGTTCATTGGCGCAAGGTTTTCCTGCTTACAGGGCCAGCAAGGTAAATTGAAGCATTCATTTGGGTCCTAATTGAATCCACATCATCCTTACAACTGCACACTACGTACGAAGTACATGAATACAGTGTTTTCCACACCAAAGTCAAAGAACGGTAGATATCTTTGAAATAAGGACTGACAATCGTAAGTAAATTTCGGGATGTTTATTGGCAAATAATAGCCAATAACTTTACCATTCATGGATATCACCAAGCGATGTAATCGATAGTAGTGACTGACGATGTGAAACGGAATATATTGGACCTAGTGCGGAAAAACATATTCCTTTGGGTTGTGAAAAAAGTTGTGAGAGTGTGGATTCAAGTGGGGTCCAAAAAAGATAGATATTATTAGAAGAAATGATAATTTAAATCATCGATATTCTTCGTTCTTTTCTTACTCCAGGCTGCTCTTAATATGCTTACTCGAACCTACGGTGATCACGTCAAGAAGGATGGTATCATAAGTGTAATGTTGTTTCCTGGTTGGTGCAAGACGGATTTTGGTGGACCCAAGGCAAGACTCTTCACAGATTACAGTGTTTCCAGTATGATAAAAACAATCTCGACTCTTAATGCTGAAAAAAATGGTTGCTTCATTGATTATTCTGGCAGGCCTGTGCCTTTTTACATAACATTATTCTAAATCACTTTAGATATAATCTAATTTTTGAACTGATAAATGTGATATTGTGATGATATTAGAGTAAACTATTAAAACGTTTGCTTTCTCGTTGAAGCTTTCTTATTTCAAATTGACACAAAGCTAAAGTCAATATTTTTATTATTGAAAGCTACAATCAACAATTGTTACAACTACCAAAATGCTTATTGTTTCTTCTGTCCTTGTCACTGGTGCAAACCGTGAAATTGGTCTTGAATTTATCTAAAATCTCGCATGTTATTGGCACTTGCCATAGCTTGTTTTTTTAATTTTATATTGGCATCATATTTAGAGGCATGATTGAGGTTTTGTTGTGCCATCTTGTGTTTATGCATATAAACTTTATGCCTCTATGCTTGAAGTTAGAACCAGATTTGATCACAATCACTGATTTTCAATCACTTTCAAAACTTAGCTTATGTAACAATGTTTGCTTTTCTGATCGCTATTTAACCTCAACAATATCGTTTTACTTTTGTCACGTTCAAAACAAATTGGATACATTTTCAAACAATCAAAAATTAACGATAATTGCAATAAAATTTTTTGTTAAATTGAGGAGTTGTTAGTCCATTCATATTTTCAAATACTGATTTTGATTAACAAAAAAAACAGATGTCTCTTGCACGAATTTCATGTGAAGTTTATTGATATCAAGATATTTGGTCACTAGCCATAGAGACAGGTTTGCTTAGTCGATGCAAGTCTAGACTGATCACTCAAATCATTATTTAACCTTCAAATTGCCAAGAAACCAGAGAATCGATCCATATAATTCAAGCATTAAGACTTATTTAAAGTGCTACTAGTCATAGTAATGTGAGTAGAGTACGAAAGTGTAAGATTTGGATGCAGGCCAGGATAGAGATCGTGATTGAATCGTAGTTATACAGAAGTTTAGAGTTGAAATGACAACTGTTATGAGATGAAAATACAGAAACCTGTTAGTTACTTGGACTCACTTGGAATAGCTTATTTAACCGTTTTTATATTTCAATCTCGAGCTTTAGCGAGATTGCATTGTAGAAATCATTTTTATCCATTGAAATGCTAGTTTAGGAATTTTCTCAGAATTTAGTCTAAATGACTGACAGGTTTCAGTATGTATCACTTAAGTGGATTACATTTACTTTTGAGATTCAATTTGAAAAGTTGCACTGTCAAGTTGAACTTTACTCCCATTCACATGTTCAGAATTGTGATTTAATTGTTGGAAAGGCCAAAATAAATGTTACACAAAGAGTTGCCAGTGAAGTGACAAACGATGCTGTTATAGTAAATAAATTAGCAAAAGTCAGTCCAATGTCGTTACGACCCATTCTGTACATGAGCAGCGAAGTCTGCAAACAACAAAAAAATGAAACTGATTAACATCTTTAGAGTGAACACTTAATGAACTTGAAATGAGCTGATATCACTTAATGTTAACAAATATCAAGAAATTCATCAAAAGTGTTGTTGACAAGTCAAAGTATCTGTAAATGTAGTTAATAATGTTGACTCATTATTATATTATACTCGCATCGATATGAATTAACTTGCTAACACTAATGGTTCGGCAATAAGCTTACCTCTGCAAGGTGACTTGGATTGTTCTTAGTGAATGATAGTTGATATGCATGGTGGAAGCCCTTTGAGGCCCAAGCGTTGATTTTAACCACATAATACGTGAATACAGCAGTCATTGAGATAACGACAAATTGAATAATTATTGAAATATAATAATCAGTTGGCGTAGTCGATAGGTAAATCATACGATAAAGATCAATTAAAATAAATGTGATCATCATGGAGTAAGTGCAGGCAATGAAATGACGAATAAATTGATCAGCTTTGAGTGTCATTTGGGAACCAAAAGAGTGCATTAGACGAATCGATCCAATGTTGTCTTCAGTTGAATTTGGAAATTTTGTTAGATGCTCAAGTCGTTTGTTGACATGGAGGAATGTAGCACAAATAAAGAGCAAAATTTGCAACGAAAAATCAGTTATCAGACCCAATAGGACGGCATAAGTGAAACTCGTAAAAGCAATTGGAACCAACTCAAAAATATATTCTAATGATTGTTTCTCGGTTCGGTAGGTTGATGAACTTACCGTAACATTAAGAATGACATGTATGAGAATGAGGAGTCGACACTTTTTACGTTGATATTTAATGTACTTTATGGTCTTTGAATCGTGTTCGAGGCCCGTTTGAGACCAAACTTCAAGAAATTCAACAAATCGTTTCCAATTGCATACAAATATCAGTATGAAGTATGAAAAGATGATCACCAATCCGTTTAAAAGCTGTAAAATGAAAAAACTTTTTTCATTCAACCCTTCAAAGGCCGAAAAGCCCAAATAGGCTTTGTACATAGCATATGATCCAATTGCAACTGTCAGAGACAAAATAACCATCAATAAAAAGTAACGAAACTTCCGATTCTTATTGTTGACCATTACCGTAAAGATGCTCGATATTTCAATGGGTTCATCAACTTCAGTCGTCATTTTCTTGTCGCTGCACATTTATATCAAAATTAAATATTGAAAACTATTCGCTAATAAATGCGTTTAGATTATCACTAGTATTAGAGTAATGGTGTTATATTAAAGAATGAAACTGCTCATGACCATCATTCCCTTGGAAAGTGATAACGATTTGTCTGGATTATTGTACAGAATGTAAACATATATTTTAATAGTTTTAGTCTTTGACTGATTACAGTCAATATTGAGAAACTACGCTGCAACACTTTACTAACTGTTTGTCTTTTAGTTTCAAGCATGAGTTAATGGTTAATTGTTATTTTGGTAACAGTATTGTTTTACGGGCTCTTGTTTCCTCAAAACACTTTACGATTCTCGACTTTCAAGTTCCAAATCTTGGGACGACCTCCAATGCTCTTAACATCATCGATGACACCAGATCTGAATTCTGTTGCATATTTGGTGACTTGAGACTTTGAAATGGTTTTGTCTCCTAACAATTCAATTACAAGTTTACTGTAAAAGTGTGTTGCTTTAACTTATCGAAACACCAAAAAAACAAAATGACGCTGATTCCCATTAGCGTCATTTTGATTTTTTGAAAAGGCTCGATAAAGTTTTAAGTTAGACTTTGACAATCGAATGACATCTAAAACGCATAGACGGGTCATCCGTTGACCCTGGCACTCAATTTAAATTGGATAATCACAAATTACCGAAAAATAACTTAACATTGGGAAAGTTAGATTGGTTAACATTGAAATTAACTGAGCAAAACCAGTCAAATAAACTTGTAGTTTGATCAGAAACCTTTTCTGGTTTTTGTCTTAAAACTTTTACTCGAGATTATAAAATATTATAAATTATGAAGCTTAGTGTTGAACTTTGCTTTTGATTTACCACGGTAGTGGTAGTTGATAAGTCAACATGATAAATGTGTTACAATCAGAATGATCATGATCCCTCAATAATGAAACAAATCTTTTGCTCCAAGCAGTGCTCAAGATTGAACAATAACAGAAAACATAGCAATTAAAAGATATGAATTTTTCAAGAGACTCTGAAGAAAGCTTGAATTTTCAATCATTTTTTTGCAAAAATCTGTACCAATCATCGATTTTGTTTGTCAACATACCAAACACAATTTCATCTGTAGTTTGATATGATAAACAAGCTTTCCACGCGTATTTCACTTGATAGCAATGAAAAGACTTAATTTAGCATTATAATATCATCTAATTTTTAGAGTCTGTTTCATTGTTTAGTTCAACATTTGATCAAACAAAATAAAACCAAAATTATGTTTTTGATGGGCTCAAGGATTAAGCATAATTTTTGTATCAAGAATAACATGCAACAAATAATTGTTTAAAGTTTAGAGGGAAAGGCTCGTCATCCTAATTTTTCTGAACAGTCAGTCAAAGAATCGTGACCTGGAATTTGTCATGACCTTTTCCTACTATCACGTTGTACAAGACATCGAACAAATAGAAAGTCAAGAATAGACCGAGACAATTGTACAAATATTGCTTTGACATTTCTGAAACTGCTGCGTTTTATGCTTTTATTCAATGTAAAAATTACTCTGATTAATTTGCAAAATTTAACCCCAAAACAAACACAGCAACTGCAAAGAAATGAATATATTTCCGTTTCCAGAACAGTAATAGGTTTGATCAGATGCCTTTGAGGTTACTATAAAACTCACAACTCAGATGGATGTAAATCATCAACTTATCTCAACTCGAGATAAACACAGTTAAAAAGCGAGTTCAAAATGAATTTTAAAATGTGTTTAAGCTTATTTATTTTTGCTTTAACAGCAACTAATTATGTTTCTACGCGAATTATTGGTATGCCAACGAACGGCTTGACAAATTCAATGAGTGGTGCGCTTGCCAGCGCAGGGTCTCAAGCAAGCGATGGAAGTGACGACGGAACTCCATCAATAGAACTTTCTATGGATGGAATCGGTTCAATGCCAGGTACTGTGATGAAAGCTATCCTAGGTAACCAAGATGATGAAGACGGTGATCAAGAAGATGAATTCGACTCTTCAAGTGCATCATCATCAGCAGCAGCAGCATCATCATCATCATCAGAGGGTGAAGACGACACTGATAACGAGAATGGCGATGAGTACGGTCCAGAAAATGAAAGTGGTAATGGATATGGTAACGAAAATAATTCAGAATCAGGTGCAGACTCAGGATCTGGTGCTGGTGCAGGCTCAGGTGTAGGCTCAGGATCTGGTGCTGGTGCAGGCTCAGGTGCAGGCTCAGGATCTGGTGCTGGTGCAGGATCTGGTGCTGGTAACAGAAACGATTCTAGTAGAAGATCGGGTTCATCTTCTAGTACATCGTCATCATCATCAGAAGGTGAAAACAACAATGATAACGATAATGATAACGAATATAGCTCAGAAAATGAGAATTTCAATAAATATAGTTCAGGTAAAGAGAATGGTTCAGCGTCAGGTGCTAGTGCCGGATCTGGTAATGGTAATGGGCACAGTTCTAATAGAGAATCAAGTTCTTCAAGTTCATCATCATCAGAGAATGAAGACAGCGCTGATAACGAAAACAGTAACAATTATTCTTCAGGCAATAAAAATAATGGTTCAGGATCGAAATCATCTGCAAGTTCCGCCGAAAGCTCAGCTTCGGAAAATAGTAACAGCTATGGATCAAGCAACTCAGATAATACTGGCGGACATGGTTCTGCTCAAGGATCAAGTTCATCTTCTAGTGCAGCATCCAGTTCATCATCAACGAAAGATAATGAAAACCGTGATAACGTGAGTGATAACGACTATGACTCAAGCAATGGAAATGGTAATGGATACTCCAATAACAATGATTCAGGGGCCAATTCGCAGGAATACTTCAGCATCTTCAGGTTCATCTGGCAGTGGAAACGGCAATGGTTATGGAAATGGTAATAACGGTTCAGGTTCAGGTTCCGGTTCAGGATCTGGTTCAGGATCTGGTGCTGGTTCAGGCTCAGGATCTAGTGCAGGTTCAGGATCTGGTTCAGGGTCTGGTTCAGGATCTGGTTCAGGATCTGGTGCTGGTTCAGGCTCAGGATCTAGTGCAGGTTCAGGATCTAGCTCTGCAGCTTCTTCAGGTTCATCAGGCAGCTCATCTGGCAGTGGAAACGGCTATGGTTCAGGAAATGGAAATGGTTACGGAAATGGTAATAATGGATCTGGATCTGGATCTGGTTCAGGTTCAGGTTCTGGTTCAGGATCTGGTGCAGGTTCAGGTTCTAGCTCTGCAGCTTCTTCAGGTTCATCAGGCAGCTCATCTGGCAGTGGAAACGGATATGGTTCAGGAAATGGCAATGGTTACGGAAATGGTAATAATGGATCTGGATCTGGTTCAGGTTCAGGTTCAGGTTCAGGTTCAGGTTCAGGTTCAGGTTCAGGTTCTGGTTCAGGATCTGGTGCTGGTTCAGGATCTAATGCTGGTTCAGGATCTGGTGCAGGTTCAGGATCTAGCTCTGCAGCTTCTTCAGGTTCATCAGCCAGCTCATCTGGCAGCGGAAACGGATATGGTTCAGGAAATGGCAATGGTTATGGAAATGGTAATAATGGATCTGGATCTGGTTCAGGATCTGGTTCAGGATCAGGTTCAGGTTCAGGATCTAGCTCTGCAGCTTCTTCAGGTTCAGGTGCAGGTTCAGTATCTAACGGTTATGGTTCAGGATCTGGTTCAACTTCAGGATCTAGGATCTGCAGCTTGTTCAGGTTCAGCATTCAGGTTCATGTGTCAGTGGACACGGTTATGGTTCAGGAAAAGGCAATGGCTAGTGAAATGGTAATCATGGATCTAGCTCTGGATGCAGCTTCTTCAGGTTCATCAGGGCAGTGGCAACGGTTATGGTTCAGGATCTGGTTTAACTTCAGGCTCAGGATCTGGTTCAGGTTCAGGTCCAGGTTCAGGTTCAGGTTCAGGTTCAGGTTCAGGTTCAGGTTCAGGTTCAGGTTCAGGTTCAGGTTCAGGTTCAGGTTCAGGTTCAGGTTCAGGTTCAGGTTCAGGTTCTGGTTCAGGATCTAGTGCAGGTTCAGGATCTAGCTCTGCAGCTTCTTCAGGTTCATCAGGCAGCTCATCTGGCAGCGGAAACGGATATGGTTCAGGAAATGGCAATGGTTACGGAAATGGTAATAATGGATCTGGATCTGGATCTGGTTCAGGTTCAGGTTCTGGTTCAGGATCTGGTGCAGGTTCAGGTTCTAGCTCTGCAGCTTCTTCAGGTTCATCAGGCAGCTCATCTGGCAGTGGAAACGGCTATGGTTCAGGAAATGACAATGTTTATGGAAATGGTAATAATGGATCTGGATCTGGATCTGGTGCTGGTTCAGGATCTGGTGCAGGTTCAGGTTCTAGCTCTGCAGCTTCTTCAGGTTCATCAGGCAGCTCATCTGGCAGTGAAAACGGCTATGGTTCAGGAAATGGCAATGGTTACGGAAATGGTAATAATGGATCTGGATCTGGTTCAGGATCTGGTGCTGGTTCAGGTTCAGGATCTAGCTCTGCAGCTTCTTCAGGTTCATCAGCCAGCTCATCTGGCAGTGGAAACGGATATGGTTCAGGAAATGGCAATGGTTACGGAAATGGTAATAATGGATCTGGATCTGGTTCAGGTTCAGGTTCAGGTTCTGGTTCAGGATCTGGTGCTGGTTCAGGATCTAATGCTGGTTCAGGATCTGGTGCAGGTTCAGGATCTAGCTCTGCAGCTTCAGGTTCATCAGCCAGCTCATCTGGCAGTGGAAACGGCTATAGTTCAGGAAATGGCAATGGCTATGGAAATGGTAATAACGTTTCAGGGTCTGGTTCAGGATCTGGTTCAGGATCTGGTGCAAGTTCAGGATCTAGCTCTGCAGCTTCTTCAGGTTCATCAGGCAGTGGCAACGGTTATGGTTCAGGATCTGGTTCAGGTTCAGGCTCAGGATCTGGTTCAGGATCTGGCACAAGTTCAGGTTCAGGTTCAGGATCTAATGCTGGTTCAGGATCTGGTGCAGGTTCAGGATCTAGCTCTGCAGCTTCTTCAGGTTCATCAGGCAGTGGCAACGGTTATGGTTCAGGATCTGGTTCAGGATCTGGTACAAGTTCAGGTTCAGGTTCAGGATCTAATGCTGGTTCAGGATCTGGTGCAGGTTCAGGATCTAGCTCTGCAACTTCTTCAGGTTCATCAGGCAGAGGCAACGGTTATGGTTCAGGATCTGGTTCAGGTTCAGGCTCAGGATCTGGTTCAGGATCTGGTTCAGGATCTGGTTCAGGATCTGGTTCAGGATCTGGTGCAGGATCTGGTGCAGGATCTGGTGCAGGATCTGGTGCAAGTGCAGGATCTGGTTCAGGATCTGGTGCAGGATCTGGTGCAAATTCAGGTTCAGGTTCAGGATCTGGTTCAGGCAATGGGAAAGGTAATGGACATGGGAAGCATGGTTCAGGATCTGATTCAGCTTCAGGAGCTGCTGCAAGTGCAGAGTCTAGTTCAGGTTCAGGATCAAGTGCACGAAAAGTAGGATCTGCAAGTTCATCTGGTAGCTCAGCGTCTGGAAACAACAGTAGGCCAGGATCAGGTTCACGACCAATTACAAACAAGCAATCTAGGTCTGGTATGCAATCAGGCTTTGGAAGCGCAAAAGCTAGTGCGTCAAGTGTACTCAGATCAAATCCTGTGAATAAAGCAAGCAAAACTTCAGGTAACTTGATTTCATTTGAGATGCCTGGATTTGATCTAAGCATGGGTCGTTGAATTTTCTATAAGATGAAATGTTAAACGTTCCAATAAATCAATAAAATTTATTTTTAATTTCAGTTGAAGTTTAGCAGGTTTAATCTCTTATTGTCATCTAATCGTGTGATGATCGATGTAAAACGCAAAAATCAAACTAACATTTGGGTGATTATTAGGTTTACTTTATCAAAACTAGTTATATAATAGTAGCGGTATTCTATAATTCATTGCATCTTAATCACCATATGTCATACCTGGGCTACGATAGAAATGTTCGAAATTATTAACTGCTTGTTAATTCGAATTTAGAGTTCATGCAAAATTTTTAAACTCACGCGTCTTTAAATTTCTAAAAAATTGGATCTTTATGAGTTATTAATTTTAAAGTCCTTTAAGCTCCGATTCCTTAAATCAGGCGTATTTAAGCATTTCTGATTGAAATGCAGCCTAAATTTTATGTTGGTAGCTTTTTGACTTGAAATTTTAACTTGAATTAATAGAATGAAAAACAAGACCCAAAATTGTGTTTAAAAAGTTAGACCATCTATTTTTTAGAGACTGACGAAAAGCCTGTCTTTCTGTCTGACTGAAGACTGTGTTTCGAGTTCCAAAGATGGTTATAAGTGAGGGACAATTGCAGGTGCACTGGTAGCTGCACTTAACGCAGCAAATTTGGATTTCAGTCAACGCATTTTTTAGGTGTCGTCATCTTTGGTATTTTATTGTTTTAGAGACATTAAAATGTAAATAATGGTCAACTTTGAAGATAATTGCGTGACCTGATAGATGGCCTCTATGGTGAAAATTGGCCATTTTCTTTACTTCACCGTCTTAATTTAATTTAATTTAGTTTTTATTAATTTTAGTTTTTATTTATATTTTGTGTTTAAAATTGTTTTTGAGTACTCCGTGCAACCGGTGATTCCATCAAATAGTTTTTGTTTTCATTCTGTACATGAGCAACGAAGTCTATTGAACAATAAAAATGAGATTGAAATACATTTTTCAAGAAATTTATCAAAAGTGTTATTGAAAGTCAAAGTATGTAAATATCGGTAATAATGTTTACATATCATTATATTAATATCATTATCATCATAGTACTTTCTCTAATGGTTCGACAAGTTCGAAGCTTACCTGGACTTAGCCTATTAGTTGACTAGCTTATTTGTTAACTTTGACTAAATAGTTGATATGCATGGTGAAAGCCCTTTGTGGCTGAAGCGTTGATTTTAACCACATAACGTTAATAAGCGATAACTAAAATAAAATGAATGTGACCAGCATGAAGTGTCCAGTTTTTAGGGTCAGTTGTGAGCCAAAAGGATGCCTTAACCGATTGAATTGACCTGATTTTCTTTATAATATTAGTTCTTGAGCTGTTGCATGTTCAATATGCATATAGCTCAACCACCAGTTTTTGTGACTTTTTGACCACTGTACTGGATTCAACTTACTTAAGTCTCAAAGCATCACTCACTAAGTACATATTGTTGGCTAGCTGAGTTCATAGAGTTTATTTCGTCTTTAATAGCAGTTTAATTTATCATAATTACTTACATGCACTACTAATTTTTGCAGTTTTTAGCTTTCGAAATTTAAGATCACAATTCGGCCTGATAACGCTCGGAAATCTTGCAAAGTTTAACACTAAGAAATTATAATATGTATTATAATTTAGTGGTTCATAAAACAATGGGACAAAGCTCCATGGTTATTCATTGAAAGTACAAATTGAAAGTATCAATAATGTACGATAACAATTTATGGTTTATTTTCTTTGAAATACAGAAAGCTCTTGATGAAACTCTAACAAGGGAAGGTGCCTAAGTGGTACAGTTAGATTCGGAAAATTCTATGATAAATCGATAGAAATAAGACAAAAACATGTCTGGTGGAAATTTAAAAAA